AACTTTCCTGCTCCTCTACTGCCTGGCCTGCTGTGTTCCTCCAGCTCCACACTATGTTATCTCAAAATCTATCAAATCATGGTCATTGCCCCCTCGAGTTTCCTTCACCTTCAGCTCCCTAATCACGTCTGCTTCATTACACATCACCAAATCCAGAATTGCCTGTTCCCTACACGGTTCTACCACAATCTACTCCAAAAAATCTCGTAGACATTCCATAAATTCCTTTTCTTGTGATCTGCTACCAACCTGATTTTCGCATTCCACCTGCATATTGAAGTCCCCCTGACTCTGTAATACTGCCTTCCTATCTTACCTGCCTTTTCTAAGTCCTGATTTATTTTCTTTTCCACATCCTGGCTATTGCTAGAGGCCTGTAAACAGTTCCCATCAGAGTCTTTTTTCCTTTGTGGTTCCTCAAGTCTTCACAAACAGATTCTACACCCTCCAACTCTATCACTTCTTGCTATTGATTTAATTTCATTTCTTACTAACAAGGCAACCCATCCCATTCTGCCCATCTGCCTTTCCTTTTGATTGCATGTGTATCCTTGGATATTTAAGTTCTCAGCCCTGATATCCTTTGGGCTATTTCTCTGTGAAACCCACAATATTGTGCCAATTCCAATCTGTGCTACAAGCTCATTTACCTTGTTTCAAATACTGCCTTCATTTAAGTATATCACTTCAGTCCTGTGTTGATTGCCCTGCTTCTCAAAAGTTGTCCCCTTATCTGCTGTGCCTGAAGTTAGATTGCTGACCTATCCATACTCTCTGTCCTAATATTTGTCCTAGAAACTTTAACCTCTTCTGGGCCTTATCTCCCTTTAACTATTCCATAATCTTCCGTGCAACTGAACCCAGCACCCCACAATTTAGTTGAAAGCCCTAACCAAAGAAATCCGTTTCTCCCAAACCAACCTTTGAGTCACACCTTTACCTTTTTAATCTTGTTGACCCTGTGCCAATTTGCTTGTGACTGAGATAGTAATCTAGGAATTACTACCCTTTTGGTTATGATTTTTAAATTTAGCCCCTAGCTGCTCATATTCCCTCAGCAGAACCTCTGTCCTCTTTCTACCTATATTGTTCATACTTATATGGACCACAAGAACTGGATCTTTCCCCTCTTACTCCAAGTTCTGCTGCAGGCCAGATGAAATATCCTGAACCTGGGAACCAGGCAGGCGACAGCCTTCGGGACCTTCAATCCTGACCACAGAGAACAGTATCTATTCCCCTGACTACATTATGCCTGATTACAATGACACTTCTCTTTTCTCCCCCTTCTTGAGTGGCGCCCTGTACCATTGCGCTATTGTCAGTTTGTTCATCCTCCCTACAGCCCACACTCTCATTCACAGAGGGAGGAAGAATCTCAAACCTGTTAGATATGCTCAAGGGCTGAGGTTCCTTCAGCACTACCTCCTGGATCCCTCTACCTGCCTCGCTGGTAGTCACACCCTCCTGTCCCCCACCACTGACCAAATTCAAGGTAGTTAATCCAATGGGTGTGATGCCTCCTAAAACACAGCATCCAAGTAATTCTCACCCTCCCTGAGGTGGTGCAGTGTTCAAAGCTCATACTCCAGCTCATCAATTCTGAGTTCCTCAAGCAACCAACACTTGCTATAGATGTGGTCACTACGAACCAAAATGGAGTCCACCAGCTCCCACATACAACTCATTGCCTGGCTTGGAATTTCTATTTTAATTACTTAATTCTTAATTTGATTTTTAAAATTTTCATACTGATCCTTAGTTTGTAGCCTGTAAATATTTCTTACAATTATCTTCAATATGAAAAGTAACGCACAACAGACAGTGAAATTAATAGCTATCACCAACCAATGAACTTACGGTTTATCTGCAATCTCACTGTTTTGTGCCAGGCCCGTGAGCCTGGGCTTCAATTTATCCTGTTAAGAAAAACATTTAAAGCTATGAGCAAAAAATAAAACAAGCAAGGAGTACCTCTTCCCCCTCTGCTTAAACTGCTTCCAAATTCCCTGAACTGTATACTCACTCAGGCAATGCCTCACATTAGTCGTGATCTCTCCCTCCTGACTGTATGAAGCTTACTCCAATGCAGAGATTTTTGTCACCCAATAGCTCCAATTGGCAGGATTCTCTGCCCCTATGGGCTCTTCCTACAGATGCATCCTGAGATAAATCGAAAGCGCAGCTGGAGGACCATCAACTCAATAAAAATGCTTTTTGGCCTTCCTGAAACTTGCTGATCTTCAAATGCTAAGATTTGGTGATGGCCAAGTGTTGCGTAATGGCAACAGTAAGGGATGCACCAGAGGATGGGCATTTGTTGCAAAAAAAAAATCAGTGGGGACACTGTGTAAGGATCTATCTGCCATAGCATCCCACAAGATTGAAAACCTTACCTTCAGGCAGTATCCTTGACATAAAATCTACAGTGTAAATATCATGGGTAATTGCAATTGTATTGAGACGCTTCAGACAGAAAAATGCATGAAGTCCTTCCATCTTTACCCACTAACTGGAGAATCATTACACAAGGAAAAATGTAAGTAATTGCCTTTTTCGTCTCCTCTCCGAAGCATGAAAATCAATTAAACCTCCACCCTCAGCTGAGATAAAATGGAAATATGCCCCTGCACAAAGGGTGGATATTTTTAACTAAAACGTGGCAGTTGAGAGAAAGTAAGCTCTGCTGCCCATCTCCCATACCTCCTCAGCTAAAGTACATTCTTAGATTTTTCACATCCTACCTTGAAAAATGGGCACAACACTATCAAAGTCCAATGTGAAAATGTCTTCCTTGCTCCAGTGAGCATGAAGTTAAATGGTGAAACTTTGCCATCTGCAGGAATAGTAACACAATACACAAAAGGATCACATGATGATAACCTTTCCACTCATAGGTTCAGAGTAAGTCATCTGACATTGCTGAGAATAAATGCTGTTTTAGTAGTTCTTTAATATGCCACATTGAGAACTGGTCTGGATAGTTTGTCAATTCTGGCTGATATTCTAACTGTTAATAAGCAGATATATGATTAATAGATATTCTTGAGCCATGCATTTGGGTAATATCAGCATCTCTATCAGTTAGATCACCTAATTATCCCAGACTGCCACGTATATTGGATAAATGACACTAATCACTTCCCATTATCATCAGTATCAATGACATACATGCTATTTTAACCAGGCCAACTATTATTCGCCATTTTATTAGGGTCTTGGGACCAGACTCCTGTCATTGTCTTCCAGGGCTATCTCCTGCCATTCTCTTCTATGCATCTGTGTGATGGGCCTCCTATGCCTTCAACAATTAGATTAGTTCTCTTCTTATTTAATTCCATCGCTAAGGAAACCAAATCCCTTCACAATAAGACGAGCACGAGGATACAAATGCAGCAGGGAAGTGGAGCAAAATCAGGCCCTGTTGTTTCTCTTGTTTCCAGATCCCTTATCTGACCTGCACTCACCCCACCCTCAAAATCTGTGTCAACTGCACTTCAAATAATAGTGGTGCGGTAAAGTGGGTGGCTTATTTTTCCGCACAAAACTTTGCACCATTTGCACTTCATATTTTTCTCAAGCACAAGTAAGGGCAATGAAAGCAGAGCTGGCTAAAGTGAACTGGCAAACAAGGATAAAAGATAGATCAAAAGAGATGCCGTGGCATATATTTAATGGGATGTTTCAAAATACTGAAAAATTGCAACAAGAAAAATTCCAAGGAACAGACTCATTGTCCATGGATAGCTAGTAAGGTTTAAAGTAGTGTCAAATGTAAAGAAAAAGCATAAATTGTGCAAAGATTGATGGCTTGTCAGAAGATTGGACACAATATAAAAACAACAAAGAATGATGAAAATTTGATAAAAAGGGAAAAATTAGAATATGCGAGAAAGCTAGCCATAAGTACAAAAATAGATAACAAAAACTCCATAAATGTTTTAAAAAGAAAAGAATTAACAAATTGAACATTAGTTCGATAGAAAGTGAATCTGGAGAATGGGTAGCAGAAAATAAAGAGAAGGCAGATGAATTGAACAGGCATCAGTCTTTACTATAGAGAATACAACTAACAGCCCAGAAACAGTGATAAATCAGGAAATAGTAGGGACAGAGGAACTCAGGAAAATTACAATCACCACAGAAGTGGTACTGAGTAAGATGTTGGAGCTGCAAGTTAGGCCCTGATGGACTTCGTCCTTGGATGTTAAAAGAACTGACTACTGAGGTATTTGATGCATTGATTTTAACTTTTCAAAACTCCTTTGATTTGGGGAATGATCCATTATGTTGGAAGATAGCAATATAATTCCTTTGTTCAAAAGGGGAAGTAAACAGAAAGAAACTCCACATTACTTAGCTTAAAATTTGTCATAGGAATTATGTTAGAAGCCAGTATCAAAGAAGTTATAGTAGGGCACTTGGGGAAGTTCTTATCAAGATGTTCTTGTCAGGTGAAAAAGATATTTTGCACCGATGAGTAATTGGTTTCAGTGCCAATGTGATGTCAGCTATGTTTTATTTTAATTCTCTTGATGGACATAAGTGTCGCTGGCTGGCCATCATTTATTACTGTCCCTAGTTGACCTTGAGAAGTTTATGCTGAACTACTTTCTTGAACCTCTGCAGTCCACGTGCTGTCGGTTGACCCCAAAATTCCCCAGGGAAGGAATTCTAGGATTTGAACTAGTGACAATGAAGGAACTGCAATATATTTCCAAGTCAGGATGGTGAGTGTCTTCGAGGTGAAATTCCAGGTGATGATGTTCCATGTATCTACTGCCCTTGTCCTTCTAGATAGAAATGGCTGTGGGTTTGGAAATTGAATGTCTAAGGACCTTTTGTGACTCAGTGGTTAACACTACTGCCTCACAGCACCAGGGAGTCAGGATCGATTCCAGCCTCTGATGACTGTCTGTATGGAGTTTGCACATTCTCCATGTGTCTACATGAGTTTCCTCTGAGTGCTCCATTTTCCTCCCACAGTCCAAAGATGTGCCGTTTAGGTGGGTTGGCCATGCTAAATTGCCCATAGTATCCAAGTATGTGCAGTCTAGGAGGGTTAGTCATGGGAAATGCAGGGTTACAAGTTTAGGGTGGGTTGCTCTTCAGAGGGTTGATGTGCACTCGATGAGCCAAATGGCCTGCTTGCACATGGTAGGGATTCTATGATTCTAACTTGTAGATAGCACATACTGCTGCTACTGAGCGTCGGTGGTGGAGGGAGTGGATGCTTGTGGATGTGGTGCCAATCAGGTGGGCTGCTTTGTCCTGAATGGTGTCAAGCTTCTTGAGTGTTTTTGGAGCTGCACTCATCCAAATAAGTGGGGAGTATGCCATTGCACTCCTGACTTGCATCTTGTAGATGGTGGACAGGCTTTGGAGGATCAGGAGATGACTTACTTGCCGCAGTATTCTAAGCCTCTGACCTGCTGTTGTAGCCACTGTGTTTATGTGGTGAGCCCAGTAGAGTTTTTAGTCAATGGTAACCCCTAAGATGTTGACAGTGGGGTCATTCAGTGAGGGTAACACCATTGGATGTCAAGGGTTGATGGCTAGATAGTCTCTTATTGGAGATGGTCATGGCCTGGCATTGGTGTGGCATAAATGTCACTTGCAACTTGTCAGCCTAAGCCTGGACATTGTCCAGATCTTGCTGTATTTGAACATGGACTGCTTCAGTGTCTGAGGAGGCATGAACAGAGCTGAACATCGTGCAGTTATCAGTGTACATCCCACTTCTGCCCTTATGATGGAAGGAAGATCATTGATTAAGCAACTGAAGATGGTTGGGCCTAGGACAATATCCTAAGGAACTCCTGCAGAGGTGTCCTGGTGCTGAGATGACCGATCTCCAAAAACCACGGCCATCTTCCTATGTGCCAGGCATGCCTCCTATCAGCGGAGAGTTTGCCCCCTGATAACCATTAATCCTAGTTTTGCTTGGGTTCCTGATGCAAAATTCAGTCCAATGCAGCCTTCATGTCAAGAGCTGTCACTCTCACCTCAACTCTGGAATTCAGCTCTTTTATTCAGGTTTGAACCAAGGCAGTAATGAGTTCAGTAGCTGAGTGGCCCTGGCAGAACCCAAACTGGGCGTCACTGAGCAGGTTATTGCCGAGCAGGTGCTGCTTGACAGCAGTGTTGATGACACCTTCCATCACTTTACTGATGATCAAGAGTAGATTGATGGCAATTGACCAGATTGGATTTGTCCTGCTTTTTGTGGGCAATTTTCCACATTGTTGGGTAGATGCCAGTGTTATAACTGTTCAGGAAGAGCTTGGCCAAGGGACCGGCCATTTCTGGAGCACAGACCTTAGAGTCATAGAGCCATGCAGCATAGAAACAGATCCCCTGTCCAACCAGTCCATGTCGATCATAATCCCAAACTAAACTAGACCCACCACCCGAGCTTGACCCACATCCCTTCAAACATTTCTTATTCATGTACATATCTAAATGCCTTTTAAACATTGTAACTTTACCCACATTCACCACTTCCCCTGTAAATTCATTCCTCACATGAACCACTCTCTGTGTAAAAATATTGTTTCTGATGTCTTTTTAAAATCTTTCTCCTCTCACGTTAAAAATATGCCACCTAGTCTTGAAATCCCCCACTCTAGAGAAAAGACACCTACCATTCACCTTACCTATACCCAACATGATTTTATAAACCTCAATAAGGTCACCCCCGACCTATCCTCCAGTCAAAACTCCCAGCCTGTCCAGCTTTCCTTATAACTCAAACCCTCCATTCCCAGCAACATCCTGGTAAATCTCTTCTGAACCCTCTGTAGATTAATAATATCCTTCCCATAACAGGGTGACCAGAACTGGAGACAGTACTCCAGAAGAGGCCTCACCAACATCCTATACAAACTCAACATTACATTCCAACTCCTTTATTCAAAAGTCTGAGCAATGAAAGTAAGCATGCTAAACGCTTTCTTAACCACCCCATCTATATTTGACACAAACTTAAAGCATCATGTACCTGAACGCCTAGGTCTCTGATCTACAACAGTACCCAAAGCCCTTCTTTTAATTGTATAAGTCCTGCCCTTGTTTGTTTTACCATCTGCCACTCTTCAGCCCATTGACTCGATTGATCAAGATCTCTTTGTAATCTTAGATAACCTTCTTCACTGTCCACTATATCACTAATTTTGGGATCATCCGCAAACTTACTAACCATGCCTTCTGTATTCTCATCTAAACCATTTATATAAAAGATAAACAAAAGTGGACTCGGTAACAATCCCTGAGGAACACCATTGGTCACAGGCCTCCAGTCCGAAAAACAACCCTCCACCATCACCCTCTGTCTCTTGCCATTAAGCCAATTTTGTATCCAATTGGGAAGGTGAACCTTAATCCCATGTGATCTAACTTTACTAATTAGTCCACCATTGGGAATCTTGTCAAAAGTGCTACTAAAGTCCAGGTAAACAATGTTTACCACTCTGTTCTCGTCAATCGTCTTGGTTGCTTCCTCAGAAAACTCTATCAAGTTTGTGACACACTATTTCCCTCACACAAAACTATGCTGATTATCCCTAATCATTCGTTGCCTCTCCAGATGCAGATAAATCCAACTTTCAGAATCACTTCCAACAACTTGATGGAGTTCAAAAACAGGGAGGCTATGCTGCAGCTGTATAGGGTCCTGGTGAGGCCACACCTGGAGTGTACTGTGTGCAGTTTTGGTCTCCTTACTTGAGAAGAGATATACTAGCACTGGTGGGGGTGCAGAGGAGATTCACTTGGTTGATTCCAGAATTGAGAGGGTTGGATTATGAGGAGAGACTGAGTAGACTGGGATTATACTCTTTGGAATTCA